TCTCTTTTCTGGTTCATGGGAAGAGCTGTTTGGGGTGGGTGGGGAGCGGTCAGTGGACTGAAGAAAACCTCAAACGGCTAGAAATGACAATCAGTGTTGCACCGCGGTGACTTATATATAGAACCCAGTGCTCTACATTCATGGCTGTGTGTGCATCATGGTGATATGAAGAACTTAACAATCTTTAATTCAGCTATCGAGGGTGAAAAGCGCTTCGTGAGTCATTAGACATATTTGCAGGTTTTGCATGTTGCCAAAATGATATATCCAGAACAAGTCGAGATTTGGATGAATGTCCGCTTTTGCTCAAAATAAAATCAGAATATTAGGATAACCAAAGACTTTCTGTCAAAAGAAGATTTGTAACACCGGCTCGCAATGTGCCGGGATGTTGTGCCGAGAAGCATCAGTCCCCTAACTCTGCCAGTCTTCCTCTCCCTTTATTTTGGGGCTAATTCAATTTCCCTCAGACAGACTCTCTCCCGCTGACGCTGTCTCCATTACAACGCACAGCCAAACACAAGCATTCATTAATTAGTGGCATCGTTGTCTTTTAATTATGCATGTGGCTTATTAGGCACCTCACCCATTCACCTAAGCCTTCCTGTCTACACTCCCCTCTGTTCCTTGCCGTGCTCATACGGGACCTTTAAACTTCCACCTGCACATTATAGCTCTAATAAAGCTGTTATCAGCCCGTGAAGGAGATGGCAAACAGGTGAGAAAGGAAGAGAGGGAAAGAGATGGCAAACAGGCGACTGAGGGTTCTGATATGTCAGCAACAGAAATTAGCTAACTGCACTCCCGACTGTGACACAGGCAGGGAGAGAATAAACCCACCAACTCCTCTTTCTCTGCCTCTCTCTCCCTTTCTCTCCTTTAACTCTCCTTCTCTGCCTCTACGAACCACAGAGAGAGGAAAAGAGGAGGGGGAGAGAGAGAGAGAGAGCAAGCGAGAAGGAGAGAGCGTCAGCCGGTGAATTTTTACAGCTCTCCAAAATCATTATTGGCAATTAGCGTTCGTCAGGGAAGACAGCAGCTGCTTGTAATTACAGGTAGCCCCTCATTACTTCTCAGTGTAGGGAAGAGGAGGGAGGGAGGGAGAAAACATGTTCCAGAGCCAGTGTTTATATTTATTTATATATTTCTTTACCCGTGATGTTGAGCCACATAATGTATACCAGCTATAGTGCATGGCTGGGGGCTGCAGCAGGTGCAGATCATAAGGAGGAGAAAGAGGAGAGTCTGCACTCACTGTAAACAGCCGACGCCATCGTGCAAATGTTGTGCCTTTGCGGTGCTGCGTACATAAGAGTGGATATAACTGTATATATGTTTGGCAGTGCATTCTTATTAACAGGTTTAGATAATTACTGTGTACTTTTTGTCTGCTGCTCATGGGCAAAGTTTTGCTGTCGGGAAGCATTGCGCTGCCTTTAGCTGTGACATCTCAGATTGAAATGGTACAGGTTGAGGTTAAGATGACCTGACATTTTAGGGCACGGTGCACTGTTGAAGTGCCCTAAAACTCTGCACCGAATGGCACAGCGGAGTCTTCAGCAGGCCTTGGATGCTGATACGGTTCATAATTTATTACACTAATGGTTAAAGATTCGATTAGGGCACAATCTTGGCTCATGCACGAGTGGCTGCTGCCTGATAGGCCAGTAACTCCCTAGAAAAAGTGATTAAAGAAGAGTCATTCCTTGATAGAGGAGGTATTTCTTACCTAATAAGCACCGTGGAGATTAAAACTGGCACAGGTTAAATAGTTCTCGAGTTCTGTTTTATTTATTTTTTTTAATCCAAAGGCACACCATCTAATTAAATGATAGCCGGTACCTTTCCTCGAGTTCAGATTCAAACATCAAACGGTTGTATTTTCATACCTTTCAAGCTATGTCGAAGTTTTACTCATGCCCTGCACTGAAGATTTTCTTTTTTTTTTTATTAATGGGGAGATTGGCAAAGCGAAGCTGTTGAGATTTCATTCTGACAGATCAGGCATATCAACAATATTTACTTTTCGTATAGCCAAAGACATTTTTTGAACATTTCTACCAGATGGGACAAGATTAATTTGCATAGCTGAAATAGTTAAACCTTTACTCAGGAAGGTAGACAAGTAGTTTTTAGTAACTATAAAAGGAGATCTTTCAGGAGGCGATAAAGATGAGGTAAACACTTACCTTGGGCAGAGGACTAGACTCCTATGAATAGTTAATTAATACCATCTGAATACTTCGTATGCCCTTGTGACTGCAAGGCCTAAAGTCCCCTACTGAATCCACCATAGCCTAAGGCATGTAATCAAACCAATTAACCCCAGATAGAAAACAATGTTTGTTGGTTGTGTGCATGCAGCTACAGTATGGACCATTGCTTCTGCTGATCCCTTAGCTCAGATAGTGCAAGGTTAGGTTCAGGGGAGTGGACGCCCTGCTCCGTGTTGAGGTGCAGTTTTAAACATGGAGGTCAGGTCTGCTGCACACACGGCTTCTCAAGACTAACAGAGGGCATGCTAATAGGAGCTGGAAATTAGCCTCTTAGCCTCCACTGAGGGTTTTAGCTTGCTCTCCAAAGGAGGGAATGTTTGAGTTTGTCTTTTCTCTTGAATAAAACCATTAGTCTCACTTATGAGTGAGTCATTCTGGTTCCACAAAAGGGTGGAAAAAGTTACAACTGTCAATCTTTTGCTGACTTTCATGACAAGCTGTCATCCTTCTTCGCCTTCATCTTCCCAGCATCATAACGGTAAATAAACCGCTTTTTCTGCCAACAGTATAAAGCCCTAGCTATGTTCTAGCTAATGCATAAAGCATTAACATTTAGAGTCTCTTTTAATAAATGTATACTATAATAGTCTGTTACAAAAAAAAAGGAAAAATCTCTTTAGACCTTGAGAATGTCTGCAAAGCTTTATTCGCTGCAAGGGTTCTGGTATTTATTTTCTGCACACACACAGGCTCCTGCTCAGTTACAGTAGAACAACCGGCATCCTGGCAGAGGAATAGCTCACATTTGCAGGGCATCTCTCGTTTCCACTGTAGACCGTCCAACGCAAATACAAAGAACAACTGTCACATTCAAACTGGAGCTGAAATGACTGGCTGGGTTTCGATTCATCTTGTCTGTCCGGGTCCCTCTTTTTCATTTGCTGCCATGAAAAGTTGGAACTGTATGAGAACCCCGCGCTAGAGAGAGAAGATCAAGTGTGTAAGGATTTAACAGATGGAATTGGGACTAAATGAAGCGCTAATGCATGGATGGTATAAATTCACTGTGCGTGCTGTAGGTTGTTCAGGGACATGATGAGATGGGTTCTGTTCAGCGTGGAAGTTAGTCGTTAATTTGATTCCCACTTAGGAGCTGCAGCATGTGTGTTTCAAAATGTGTTGCATCGTGTTCAAATAATAAATGTAATCTCTTCGTTGTTTTTTTTTAGATGTTAATTTTCAGATAGGGGGGGGGGGGGGGAAAGAAAAACAACTGGGAGGATTTAAGTAGTTGAGCCAAGTTTCTTATCATAAAGCGTAGACACATCTGTGTAGTTGCTGGGAACTCAAATTAATTCTTGGTTTACATGTAAAATTGCTGAACTAGAACAATAGCAGCTATTGTAGTTCACAGTAGCAGCTGAGCTAGGTGTTACAGGGCACCCGTGTCACTTACTTTTAGAGTTTCAAGTTGTAAAGTGAAAGGAATAAAGACGCTTTTTTTCATTCTTTTTGCACGACAAGGTTTAGGATTGTAAAATGCGTATTTTCTACAGTGCTGTCACTTTGATAATGAGCGCCTAATTTGCAGACACTCATCTAAAATAGGGAGTTTTCCACAGTGTGTTTTGCACCAACAAAAGCAAAATACTTCTCCCACACCTGTACCAGACATGCCGTGTCCTTAAGGAAAGCAAGCCCTTAAAACAAACCTCTGTTAGATACTCCCGCTGGCTGCTGCTGTGGCAGCTTTGAGGAATATTGTCGTTTTATTCTACTGATGCTCGCAGCGCTGCCGAGCTGCATTTTAAACTGTTGAGTCAGATTTCATTTACCAGCTCTTTCATCTGTTTTAAGTCAGTGAGGCGAGAGCTCGCCGTGTGTGTCTGTGTGTTTGCGATTTAGCACTGAAAATGTGTATAAATTTGTGGTCTGAATACGTGTGGGCCTGCCTGTGTCCCATGCTGCTTGCGCTCGCTTTGTTTGCATGCGTGTGGATGCTGTGTGTGTATCCAAATGTGTATGCGTGGCTTCCAACCCAGAGCTATTATGTGGAGACAGCAGGTATAATATCTGCAAACCTTTGCTGCTGTGCTGGATAAGTAATGGCCTCAAGACGTCACCTTTATCTGTAGCCACACTCCTGCAGCTGGGGCTGTGTATTCTCTGCCTCACACTTCCTCCATGACACAGGTGTGGCCATTATGTGTGTATGTGTGAGTATGTGTATGTGTAATTTTTCCCCCAACACCTCCTCCTCCTCCTCGTTGTGTATTTGCCACACACAAAAGTGGCCATGAGGAAGGCAGATAGGGCCAAGACTGACACATTCATTTCCTAAACGGCTGTGGATGCTGCGGCCGCCTTTTAAGCAGCTTTTGCTATATATCCCCTACAGATGTCGACACTGGGTGAGTGCGGCACGAAGCGCCACTGGGAGCATCCCATCATGCCCTGCAAATGGAGAAACAGAGGCTGTGGTGAGGACAGATAGGAGGAAAGAGGATTGACGGGACATGAATAAGGAGGGCGAAATTTCGACAGAGACAGAGAAGGCAGAAGCAGAGAGATGCGAGAGCAAAGAGAGGATGACATGCGAGATAGATAGGGAGAGAAAATTGAAATGAGACGGAGAGAGAGGGAGAGAGAGAGAGAGGTGAAACAAAGGAAGAGTTAGATGGGGGAGTGAGTGAGCTTTGTGGTCTCGGGCTCCATGGGAGGTTCAGCCCAATCATTTATAAAAGGTAAATGCTGTCATGACGCAGGGCGTTTAAAGGCGCGGCACTGCAGGTGTGATTTATGCTCTCAGTACGGGGCTATAAATCACCCTGCCTTTGTTTCCACAGGCTGCTTCTGCTACTGCTGCTGCTGCCGCATCAAGACATAGCCGTCCCTCTGCCTCATCTATAGTAGCAAAACACACACCCGAACACACACACACGCCCTGCGTGGACAGCAATAAAGACCGAGCGAAGACGCACAACGATGGAAATGGATGGATGGAGGGTAGGAAGAATAGGGCCGACTAGTTGGAGTCTATCAGTGAGTGATATGTGTTGAGTCCAGGAGGTATGGGTGCGCTCTCACACACGAGCACACACACGAGTGTCAGCGCAGAGCTCATGTTTCTCAATTGTATTGACTCTGGCACTGTTGGACTCTAAAAAAAGGACCAGATTTGCTAAAGCTTTCACACTTAAATTAACACTTTGCTTGCAAATTTAGTTGTTTTTACTGATCTAATTCAAGGCAGCAGAGATGGAGCATGGACGTAGATTAAGTTATATTGACTGTGACCATTTTAGCATGTGTTATCGGGCCTGGCTCTGTGTCCCGTATTACTTTACCACTGATTAATATTCTGCTTTGACTGTTAAAGCATGTGTTGAGTGCATCCCCCTTTACTCAAAAGTCTATATTTTGGTCCCTGTAAACAGAAATGTTTATTATCAAAAGGTCTTTAGTACTTGGGAATTTTAAAAAATTGACTTTGAGGATTTTTTGCAGGGGGTAATATGTTAATTACACAAAGGATTTGTCAAAACAATTACACATTAATTCTTTGATGAATAGTAGACCAGTTCTGAATAGCCACCAATGTCTGGTCACAGTCACAAGTCACTGCTTACAAGAACTTTACTGGTGAGGACATAGGCAGTATTGATATGATGGGTGTGTGGGTGGGAATGGCACTTGAGCAAGGTCACAAGTCCTGCTTATGACAGTCACATTGTCAGCATTCTTAAACTAGAGCGGATAAAGCCTTTTGTTCTCCCACCACTTTTGATGGGGAGTATAAAATGGGTTAAATTACTGTAGACTGTGACGTATACGGAACAGCAGGGTTGAACAGTAAAAAAAAAACAACAACAGAGGTTTGTTGAGTGTGCGAGAAAACCATCTTTGTAAGATGCTCCGTGTGACAAATGGCAACATTTCAGGAGTCATGCTGGGAGGTGGTGTTACTTGTAGCTGCACCATGAGTCAGTAAGCGCCTACATTTCTTTGAATAACTGGAACGGGCAGAATGAAAGTGTTTCAGTTGTACTGTTTGATTTCTAAGATGGGGAGATCGCTGCACGGGAGAGCAGCACGAGTTACAGCAATAGCAAGCGGCAGAAAGTGAAATAATGACATCTCTTAGTCAGGGTGCAACTGGGTTGCTTGCAGTATGCAATATTGTGGTTACTGTCAGTAGGGAAATTGTACGGTGTTACTTCCCCCCTTTTTTATTGTTGTGTGTCAGGTATTTTTCTGCTTGTGTTTTAAATAATTCGACATTTGACTCATTCTTACTATATCGTACTGTAGGCACGCTGGAAGTACACGTTTTGGTGCTTGGTTTTTCCCCAAAATCTTTAACAATATTGTAGGGCAAAATACACGTACGTGTCGACTTCAGGGCTGGAAGCACATATTGCATAGCTTAGTGGAAAATCAAGGTCTACCTACTGTAGTAAATACAGTATACGAGACAATAAAGTTATGGCCTAGGCACACAAAACACAAAATCAATAAAGTGAAATTAAATTCTAAACTTTGTTGTCCTTAATGTGGAAATTAGACTTTTAAAGAGCTGTATTTTAAGAACTGTAGTAAGACAGTAAGCAAAACATATCAAATGCCTCAGTATATGGTCATAAATGGGCACTTATGAAACAGTGGTGGATATATGTGAGTGTGCCGGAGGGAGAGCATCCGAGCAGTGTCAGGTGCTGAAAAGTGCTGAAAACTCACTATAAAAATATAGTTTAATTCAATTCAGTTTTATTGTGTTTTATATATTGAAAGACCCATCAATAATACAGAGAAAACCCTAACGATCAAACAGGCCTCTGTGAATGAGCACTTGGCGATAGTGAGAAGGAAAAACTCCCTTTTAACAGGAAGAACGCTGAAGAACCAGGCTGAGGGAGGAGCAGACACTCACACAAATGATAAAATCTAAATAAACATTGCATCTGCTACAACCAGGAAATATTTCATTTGTCATTAATGAATAATATTATTAACAATAACAATTTGACTAATCATTTTAGTTTCTTCTCCTTTGTAGTGATTTTGCAGAGAGCATAGGCTTCTGTAGTGCCACCCGAATTATATTAAAATACTTCTCCAACAGCAAAAGCAGCACCTTGTCGCCTTACATAATCAAGCCTTTCATCTAAACCATATTTCACCCTTCTACAAACCACTCTCAACAGAAACCCAATTGTATTGCAGAAAGCAGTCAACAATGCTCTCCACTCAATACATAATACAAGCGTATAAATCACCTCTGAGAAGGCTCTCTGACTGTGAGGGTGGGGGAAGAAAATGGAGCTGTAACATGCAGCGAACAAGTACAAGCTGACCTGAATGGCTGCTGGTATTCTGATTTCCCCCAGGAGCTCCTCTCTGGCCTGTGCTGGTGTTTTAGATTCCAGAGGGAGGCCATTAATGCTCAGCCTGTCGACCTGATCCATATGTATGGCTGGCTGTTCGTTCTGTTCAGCTATCGCCTCCCTTCTTGCCTACCTGACTGTCTCAAGGCCTGCTGGAGCCCAAATTGGTTCCTGGTCTCTGCAAAACATAGAAATAGAACAGCAGACATGTTAGGTACAAAGCACAAGCAAGATGGTTTTCACAAGGTGATTATTCAGACAATGCATCTGGACATCGAGCAGCAGATAACAGGCTCTATTTGCAGTTGGAAGAACGCAAACAGGCTCCTGTCTTTTTGCTCTGTGACCAATCGGTATGGATTATCAGCACATGACTGATTACTACAGTGTTCTGTCAAACAGACCAGTAACAGCATTTATTACTGATTGTACCACAAACGAGGAATGAAAATGCTTTTTAGCAAACTGAGCAACTGTGCCAGCATTGTGATCTGAATATGGTTTATTGGCTACCGGCTGCAGCTCACTTGATGCCTTTCTTCTTTCTTTTCTCTCACTTATCCCTTCCTCATTCATGATACATTTGGTGTAGCAGTACAGAAAATGTTCTAACACTTTTATTACCAAAGTGGTTAATAAGAGCGATCCATTACGATGCAATACAGGGTGAGAAAATGCTCCAAATAGAGAAAAACACTATCAGAATACAGAGATGTTAAAGTTACAGCTACAATAGAAAGGTTACATAGGGCACTATAAGGTGATAGATGACAGTTTTTTTCATTTCATTTTCCAAACTTAGGTCTCACATGCATCATAATGTTTAATATTCTTTGATAATCCGCTCTTCTGCTCAGCTTTTCCATGCTAGTTATGTATATCCAGTGCATTCAGTTTTAAATGTGTATGGTTAGAAAAAGAACGATGCTTTAATGCCATTTTCCCCCCCTTTAATTTTAATCCGTTTCAGTCAGGGGCACCAGAGAAACCTAACTAGAAATGTAAGCATTTATTCCTGTATGATGGCCTGATGATGCTATGATATGCTTTTAATGGTCTTGCACTTATGCCGCATCTCCAACTGGCCAGCTGTACTGAGTGAAGATGAACAAAGTCTAGACAGCATAATTAAGAAATTAGCGCTGAAAGTGTAATAACCCCACTTGGTGAAAAAGACCGATTCAGTCTGCTACCCACATTAGCATGCTTCAGTTTCATTGTCGTTCTTCCAATTTTTCCTTGCAAAAATCGTTGTTGCCCGTGCGCATCCATTGTAATATGTCTTGTTCTGATTCCCAGGTTAAAAATACTTTTTGAATAATTGCCGCCTCTCACTTGACATCAATTTAAAAGGCTAGTCTTCGGGGGGTGGTCTCTTTGTCTCTATAGCACTGTGGGCCGTTTTAGCCTTTAATATTAAAAATTAATAAAACCAGAAAATAAAGTGGATGTGAACTGTGCTGTCCAGATATAGCCGGCTCTTATAGAGTCCATTTAGCACTCCGCATGAGTCCAAGTCATTTTCGCAATCATCACAATACATCCCGTCACATTAGGGTGCCCAACTGGAGCACGGTTTCAGCCAGATGGAGGGAGGGTCAGTAGAAAGCATCTTGAGACATAGTAGACACTGTATTTATTATGCTTTTTATATAGAACAACTTTTTATCATCACCGTCACGTGATAGAAATCCACATGAATGAGAAATTCTCTAATTATTGTTATATTTAATTAAAATAATGATGTAGATAATGTGCTGTGAATGAAAAAAGATCTGCCTGTACCCACAAATAAAATGGGAGTAGTGAGAGCACAGGGAGTGCAGTTTGTATGTCGACCAAAAAACTGCCCGCTTGTAACTGAAGATTTAAAGTATTATCTTAAAAATGAAACCCAAATATTTAAAATAACATTACTTAATAGTTTTCTTTAATCGCCTCGTCACATCAACCACGTCAAGAAGTGAAAGTTTCATTTAGTGAATGTTGAGGAACATTTCATCCCTCCTTAAAATTTCATGACTCCAAGGAGAGACACAAAAAGATATCGATGTGCTCCTTTCCAAGTTTATATTTTCACTCAACCCAACTGGGCAAAAATGTTAAAGAAATAATTTCAAATCATCTGCTCCCATAAAGGGATTAATGACCGAAGACACCGGCTTTAATTTAAGGCTAATAATTATATCATTACGGTTTAATTAAGTGGCAAAAATTTGAACGTGAGTAAAAGATGTTATTAGTGAATTAAATGTCATAAAACCACATTATTTATTTACTTCTTCCTTATTGCTATTCTCACCTCTCTATTCGTATTCTTTTTTCAAATTTGGATTTAAACTCCATGCACACATTTTCATTACAAAGCTGAAATAACAATTAAGAGGAGTTACAGAAACCCTGGACCAGTTTGTCTGTTAAAAACATGTTTCACTTATTCAACTCTTGTCCCATTTCCTCACTAGTAGCTGTAATAATGTTTAGTTATATACTCTTTGACATACTGTGTACTTCATCAGTTTCCCCTGATTACCATAATTGTTATGAATCTAACAATTAAGATTTACAGGTCTGTTGCCAAGTGAAAAAAAAATACGGCTCAATGATTGGCTGAGAAAATGATCAAGGAACAGTTTGCCCATCACTTGTTGTTGGCTAAGGGTGTAATCCTAATGTTGGCAGTCTAAAAAAGAGTCGACCGCCTTCCAGTCGACACTCAGGGAATAATAGTCATTTTTTTGGGAGATGGTGTGGGGAGCACTTGTATTAAATTTCACATTCATCCTCTAAAATTATAGATTTATGTTTTGCGTATTTGAAAAATCGCTTTAATAACAAGTATTACACATACATTTCAAAGACAGGCTCTCTCCACATATGGAGTCCTGTTCTTCATGGGTATGAATGATAGAAGAGTGATGATGTATTGCTGGAGGTGTTGAATTTTCTTGCCTCAGAGTCTCCGGTGAATAACCCTGTCAGACGTTCATTAATGACAGCTATAAGCCAGAACATGTGAAGATCATACACAGTGGGGCACAGACGCCTACAGTATTTCTCTCTTCTCCCGCCGCCTATGTTGCATCTCCCCCGGTTTCTTATCAGCCTCTCAACCTTGTGTAAAAGCCTAGTAACACTTTACTTTTGCAGTGTTTAATAGAAGTCTCTCTCGTGCCTAATGTGCTTACAACATTAGAACAGCACTAAGAGCGAGTGTACAGATGTAGCTGCTTGTTTTGACATTGTAGCCGCCTTGGATTCTGCATTAACTTAATGTAATCAAAGGATTTTAACTGAAACTGTTTTTTTTCCTACTTAGACTTTTCCATAATTGGCTGCACACTGAAATAAGGCCACCTCAAAGTAAAGTGTTACCAAGACAATCCCTACAGTAAAAGCTTTGAGAACTATAATGGTTATACACTATCATCCCTGCTTAAAAACAAGGGGATTTGTCAGGGATGTTTCTGCCTCGGTTGGGGCTAGGGGGACCAAATTACAGCCCTAGTGTCTGGTTGGAGGAGGAGAAGGAAATAGATGGGTCTAGATATAATGGTGATGGCCCCTGGGTGGTACTCCTTTGAGAGAGAAAGAGGAGATTAGAGTGGAGGTGTGAGCTTGCACTAAGATTACATTTTCCCTCTTTATAATGGATAAGTGCTTCTCTCTTTTTTTCCTATTTCACTCCCACTATTCTGCGTCTGTTTCACAGTGTTCCATCTCTCTCCCTGCCCTCCATCGCCACAAACGCGCAAAAAACACACACGCACACACATACGCATTAAAAAGCATACACATGCACATATGCGTGCACACGCACAGCTCTCCTCTCTCCCTCTGTCACCCTCTCCCTCCGTCCTCCCTCACTTGATCCTTACACCTACGTGCTACAGATGGTTTCATTTTATAAGAGATAAAACCACATTTGGTGGAACTGATTAAACAGAGGGAACAACATCCCCATCTGCCATTTATTCCAATCTGAAATTGCTTGGGCAGATGCTGACATCTTTGGAGATGATTGATTCACCCCGTCTGGCCAGAGAGGAGTGAAGAGGAGAGCAGAGCTGGATCCTCCCCGGGGCTGCAGCTTCCTGCCACCCTGCCATGGCTTCACCACAGTGTCACTTCACCAGTGATGGAGCTCCCAACCCCTCCCCAGTCCCCCACCTCCCCGACATCTCTTGTCTGCTGCAAGCTGCCGCAATCAGTACGGGCCCCTGATTGGACTTGGGCAGGTGAGCGCAGTACACTTTAATCACGGGGCCAGAACAAGCCAGATCATCCCCAGTGTGTGCCTGCCTGGCGGCAGAGTGGGAGGACGATCTGTGTCTGTGTGTGGATGCATTAAAAGGTTTGTTCACCCAAATTACAAATACACATATTTTCTCACTCACCTCTACCAAGCCATGCAGACAGGCAGTATTTGCATAGAGTTTTGTGATGCTGACAGAATTGAAATGTCTCTTTTAAGCATGTAGCGTGTGCAGATCATTGGCAGAGTACAAGTACCGTTTACAGGCTAAACCACTGAGAGTCGTTTGCAAAACAAGACAGCAGGCTTAGGTTTTGGTGTAATGCTTTATTTGAAATATTTGACCCAGTACAATGCTGTAAAACAACAAGAGTTAAATGTGATATGTATAAGTTTATAGACTACAGTAGACTATAGATAAGACATGAACTTACTGAGCAACCGGCAGCTATTACTTGCAAAATAAATGCCGATGCCAGAGTAATTTCCTCTACACCAATAGTCTAATTGTGCATAGTGGTGCCTTATAATTTAGCATGTGTAGGAACTTTGTTTGCAAGGTCACAACAAATTGGAGACCATGCAGACATCTGCACAGAACCTCACATTCACCCTCCGATGACGACATTTCTCTCATTTGGATCCAAGCGGTCAGTCACATACTCAATGACCAGCCTGCCACTTACATACTGCAATCAAACTATAAGAATTCACAATCCCAACACAAGAACTATTCATAAAAATTAAAAATATAATCCTTATGTCCTGGGCAATAAATTTGACAGTTGCCTTTGTAATATGATTTTTTTTTTTTTTTGGCTTTATATCCTGCTTGGTCTGGGTAGCTGCTGTTACTGACAGACGCTGGAGATGAAGCTCTCCCAGAATGCACCTGCTTTCAAAAATGATAATTAGACCAAACATATGCCAATTCTGATATGTTCACCCTCATAATCTCAAGCGTTAAAAAACAAAAGTTTGGCGTAACATCCTAATTTGGGAAAGTTTAGCCCGTCGTTTGTAGATGATATGTTTGTTGTTGAGCTGCAAGCTTCTAACGTAGTCACGCTGATGGCTTCATAGATGTGGTGTCAATTAGTTTGAAGCAGACAGTTCTACAGACTAGAGGCTGATGATGTTTTGCGTTTCACCTTATCGTATCTTAACCTTTGATCAAAGGACGAGTCCTCTTTTTCACATTATTCTGTTTGGAGAACACGAACGATGGTAGGGATCATGTACTATAGTTGTTTCTTTGCTGTCTTCCACTGAGGTTACACGATATGAAAAGAATACCAATGGGTCCCAGGTGATTAGATATTCCACTCAACCTTCATCTAATCAACATTTATAGTGTCCTGCCTGTGGAATTACACTGCCCTCCACTAAATCGACTCTGAATCATCAGTTGTAAACACTCAAGCATTTTAAGATTGAAAACTCTTCCTGTTAAAGTGCCATCAAAGCCAGCAGCGTGTGAGCTCGAGTGTGCGAACAAATGCGTGTAGTCTCATAAAAACTGCTGAGCTGGGCTCCTCAATGCAATCAGGCACTGGTCTCAGCTCATATACTTGTTTGATGATAACCGAAGATGGAGGGAGAGTGATGGAGCTCTCTCAGGGACTACAGCAATAATTTAGCCTGGGGAGTGGGTGTGAATCATAGTGAAGGCACGGGGGGCTGGAGGTGGTGGATGAATCATTAGGGAAGAGGCGGGGGTGGGGGTGGAATGGAAAAGGGGGTAGAGTCCCGGGGGACTTGGATCCATCAGATGGAGCTGCTGTGGCCTCGACTGCAGCATTGACCTGCAAGCCTGTAACCCAAACCTGTCCATCTTTCTCTCTGATCTCTCCCTCCTGTAAACCACTAGCCTCACTATTCCTCCATCACTGCGATTCATACGTGTCGTTCTCCTCTGCCTCTATCATCAGAAACACCATTCCACATCAGCGGTCTCATCTTTTCCTTCTTCGTGTCTTCCATAAACCTCTTGAAGTGCTGCCGGCTCCGAGAAAGGGAAATGAATTCACAGTCTGAATGCGTCCTTTCTCCTCTCTCTGCTGCCCTCCGTCTCTCACCTTAGGGTAGTTATTCTACGTCTCCTCCCTCTGCCCTCTAAACTCTGATGGCATTCACAGCAAATTGCTCACTCCTGGAAGAAAGAGACAGGATAATATAAAAAGGAAGGAAGTGAATTGTTTCACTTAACTGACTGCCATTTTCCACGACTGCGCTACATGACAAACAGCGCGCACTCTGAAACACAGCCCTAGCCTGCCCTATGTCTCCCAGTGCAATAATCCATTACCGGGAACATCCACGCCTTTTCGAGAGTTTCAGCTCCCCAAGGCTTTGACTTTGGACAGGCAGAGGTTAGAGGAAAACAACCTGAAAACAGCCTTATCTCCCAACACACGAATGTTTGTTAAGGCTCCCCCATTAAGTCTCCCCCTGAATTTGCATATTAATTGCATTTTGGCTCTACTCCCTCCTTTTAAGGCTGCTGTTTATAGGTGCTTTATTTCTTTGAGAAGACACAGACGTCCGCGGGGATCTCACCTGCAACGGAGGACAAGAATTGAATTCCACAGGAAATTGCTTTAACTCGAGTGTAATCGAATTTGCACCCACACACACCTTGACTCGAGGACCTCGAGGGCATGCATGCATGTGGAATTACATGTATAGTACATAAAGTTACACAAATCCACACATAGACAGAAAGAAACCCTTCAACTTTAAGAAGTGAACACTGCTGCAACATGCAAGCTTAGATGGTTATTTTCAAGCTCTCTATCCCCCGCCCTTCTCTGACTTTCCTTCTTAATATTTGCATCCCTTCGCTAACTTTCTTTTCTTGTGATTTGTGTTTACTGCTTAGACATCAGAGCGTGATTTAGCAGCTTTCTCAACAAATGTTTGAAAAGATGTGAAAGTTTTAATGACTGGATTGAGTAGGGGATAAAGGAACAGCTGGAGATTCTGTAATGTAGTGGCTATTCTTAAACAGTACAGGTACACTTCAAGCTGTCTCATTTAAAAAACCAGCGCTGCAGTTTTAGCCATACTTTAGAATAACAGGTGATTGAGCATTCTCCCATCCCTATCTCCAAAGCAGTGTGACCATATGGATCTTATTTCAAAATGATGTACCGAATGGCACTCTGTAAGTGTGATATCGCATTATGCAGAGTGGATCTATTTATTATTTTCAAGATAATAGTTTCATTTCACAGATTATGACTCACATGTATTTTTCCCCCCACATGCATGGTTGCAGTGATGCTTGGCATTTAAGAGAAAGTACCAAAACAGCGAAGGAGTCATTATTTTTATTACCGTCCATCTCCAGAAACAATGTTTATGATGATCGGCATCTTCAACACGATTATTATATTCCTAGGATGCAAATAAATTCCTCCACAAAATCTGTTTTCATTTTCATTTATTTTAATGGTCCTTTATTCCTCGAATCAAATCTAATGATCTGCACTAAGCCCATCGGAGTGACTTGGTTCCGGAGCATCGATTTCCTTTGTGTTGCAGATTGATCTGTGCCTTGTTACTGCTCAGTATGTCACAGCCTCCCTTGGAAAAGGCGCATAATAAAACCCAAAAAACCCCAAAGAGGAAACAACAAAAAAACAGACTGATGTACTACAGTAAAGTAGCTTTATTATCATGAAAAATCTTTAAATCACTACAAATGTCAGCATGGACTATATCACAGATTAAATCCTTGTCCAGGCTTCATATAACTTCTTGACTTGTTGAATGGTCAGATACTGTAGCTTCAGAAATCGCCTTATTTGTAGCGTTTCTCCCTGGTTGGCTCAACACTTTCTGTGGTGACACAGCTTTACGAACTATTTCTGAGTGACAAAAAATAGACCGTTAATGTGCTGCTATGCCACTGGCCCCAATGCCTTTGCCCCTCTTCACTCTGGTGTGTTAGTATGTGAACAGTAGCCTGGGAGAACAGAGTCTCATTAAAGCTTCCGTTGCAGTGGACCACTCCCCAGATCTCCCTGCAGCAGCATCATCCCTTCACACGGTGGACCACAACCCCCAAGGGCCGCTGCACACAAGCGTACACACATCTGCACACATGCGCAGATTAAACCCTTAGTCTTTCCATTAGGCCATTTACTAAAGCACTCTTCTTTTTATCATGGTTGTCTGACTTCTCTCTCATCTATGCTAAGGCAGACTGGGCACAGACCCCCACCAGCATCAGTGTCTCACTTTTTGAGAATTTATCGATAAGGACAAACAAAGAAATGTGCAGTGCAGTACATGTGTTATGCACGAGCTCAGCATGTGCATGCGTGCGTGCACATTTGATTCGGCTTTGAGGAGGTTTCTATGTGATATGTGTGCATAATGTGTTCTGAGGGGTTCGGTGGGCACGCGATGGGACACATAGGGCTGCTCTCCCGCAGATGCAATTAGGCTAAATGGGATTATGCCTATCACATTTCAGACAGGCCGGCCCCACAGCCACCTGGGGGAGAGGGTGATGGGTGGAGGGTGAGGGAGGTGTGGCCTGATGAAGAGGGATAGAAAAAGAGGAAAAGGGTGGAGAGGTGGGGAAGATGCAAAGAGGGGAATGTTGCCTCAGAGACGGCATCCAGTGTAGTGTTAATGGAGGCTGTGGTAAAGCACACTGATGCTATGCAATACTATAATGAAATGCAATGACAGGGTGAATAAAACAGCGTCCCAGTCAGGTGATTCAACACATCCCTGACCTTCCGCTACAGCGGCATTTTGTGATGTCTTTGATGTGATGTACTGCTGAACCCCCTCTGTTATCAGGCTAAATGTCAACATCAACAAAGAAATCGAGGGAGGGCATGCTGCCTCAACACATGCTCGTGCTAGAAGTGGTTGTTGTTTGAACTGTGTGGTTGTAGGATTTAGTAGAGGACATGGATGAAGAGGGGAGAATGTAGAATTATGATTTTCACAAGTAGCTGTACTTCTTTAGTGCTTGTGTAATGGATTGATAACCACAGAAAACAAATGTGTTTTTGTCTTTATCGCTCCCCGTCTCCTAAAGACATAACGACAGTCATAACATTCCACTGAAAACTGCA